CCCCAACATTTGCTGCTTCTAACTCAAGTTGGCTGAGGGGCTTAGTAACCCACGAGAATTTTGGTTTTCTCCACATTGTGTTCTTTGATTTTATAAAAGATACTGTCTCCATCAATTCAGCAGCCCTCTGTATTTCTTTTAGCTTCATCCTTCTTTGTTTTGGGAAGTTAAACCCTCGGTAAACACATGCTTTTAACAAGGTGTTTTAAAAAGGATGGAAATTTGTATTTATAGAGAGGTTTTTTTCAAAGTCCTGAGTCTTTTATCACTCCAAAGGAATGACAAGGCTTTTTGCAGTTGATCTACAAGTCATTTAATCTTGTTATTTCCTTGTGTATCTTCACCTTCCAGCTCTAGGCGAAACCTGAGTTTCTTCAGCATCTTTTAAAAATTAATGTAAGAATTAGAGTTTAAAGGTTGGTAAGATGAGTCACAAGGAACTTAAAATATTTGAGAAGGGTCACCAGTTTCATACTGGAAAGTCTCTGTAAGGCATGTGGCAAAACTTGTTCTGTGTTTACCAGAAAGCAACTTTTAGTGTAAAGTACATGACAAGCTGAATTAAAAGTTGGTTTTGGCTTTGGTCAAGGTGAAAGAAAAGAAACTGTGGAATTGAGGCTGCCTAACATAGGAGCTTATCTCAACCTCAGCCCTGGTGACAGGCTCTAATGCAACATCCAGCCCCTCTGCTGTCTCTATTTCCTGGAGAAAAAAAAAAAATTAGTTTTGGGGGTTTTTTTTAATGCAATATGTCATTTGCTGTATGTTAGGAAGAATGGGTTTATGCTGCAAAATCTGAGCTTGGTTTCTTCTTTAGGATCATAAGAAACTTCATACAAGTTAAGTGTTACTAAAAACCAGTGGTGCTTCGAAGATACTTGGAATTTGACTTAATAGACTTTGCAGCCAAGTTTCCATGGATGTGGTTTCAGAGAAAATCCTGGTTAAGACAGTAGGGAGTGGCATTTCCCACCCTGTGCTCCACAGTTTGCAAGCTCATTAAAGATTATTTGCATATGAGTAGGACCTGCAGAAGTCAGGAAAGGAGCTGAGGGTTAAAAACTACCCTGGTGTGTGGAATTTCACCACCATAGTCCCCATGGTGATATAATCTTACCTTATTAGAGATAAGAATCTCTAATTCTTATACCATGAGCAAGAATTAGAGACTGGGTTTGGTCTTATGGAAGTCCAAAAGGGAGAAATCTGACAACATTGACCTCCTAAGCAGAGGGAAAATGTGATTTCCAATTATTTATGCAAGCGGAAATAGCTTGTATTTAATCTTTAAGAATTTCAGTTAGATCTGTAAACAATTGATTGCTAAGAAAAGATCTGACTGAGTCAGGAGTTTCTACTTCAAACAAGGCACAAAGCTGAAATTTCTGCCTCACACCAGAAAACAATACCCTTAAGCTCATTTCAAGGAATATTTTTGTCTTACTTCCCTGTCAGAGTAAAACCAAAATGAAACCAATTTTAGAAAGAGGCTGCCAAAGCAAAATCTGGAATTTATGCAGTTATAGATGTGCCAAGTCTTGCAAGTCCAAAAAAAACAAAAAAAACCAAACAAACAAAAAAAAAACCTTGAAAAAGAATTAGGTAAATAATGTTCTTCCCTCTTCAGGCATTACTCTGCCCCACTCCACCCCATCCCACCCTACTCAGGACAGCATTCCTCTCACATAGCGTAGCTGGAAAAAAAAAATCTCACTGGAAATGATTTAATGAAGACTTTTAGCAGTATAAACCTCAGGCAGGGTAGGGAATTCAAAAGATGACAAAATGTAAATGTTTAAATCACTGATGAGCCCCAGGCACACAGAGGCAGGTTTGACATCACTGAGTTAAAGTTGTGACCCAGATTTGGTGACCAACAGCTGCCTATAGTTAGGAGCAGTTTACCTGCTAAAGAAAATGGGGACAAACTCAGCTAAATGGGGAAAAATTTCAGCTAAGAATGACAAGCCTGGTCATCCAGTATTTTCCACCTGCTTCGAAGAAGTGAAATAATGGAGATTTACAGCCACTCCAGTCTCTTTTACAGTATTGCAGAAGCAGTGACTGGCATCAGTGACTTTCTAGCAATTTGTTGTTCAAATACAATAAACACGCAAGTTAGAACAGAATATTTAAACATTTACTCCCAAATAATTAATAATAGAGTAAAATATGAAGGGGGAAAAAAAGGTGGATCTATTGATTAGGGCAAGACTTTCGGACCCAAGGCTCCTCAGTTCTGAATCTTAGTCTTGCATTGCCCAGACCCAAGGTAGTTAAAATATTTTAGTTATTGAATACCCTGAACAAAAGGGGTCTTCAGATGTGCTGCACTGCTCACTAAATTCTTCCTGCCTTTGACTCACCTATGGGTCGCACCCAGACCTTGCTCCATGAAGGAAAAACAAGCATGCTTGAACAGAAAACGTTGGGATTTATTACAGGACAGGTCAGGTGTGAGATTTTTGTGAGGTTGGCAGCGGTCCCAGTGTGCGTGAGGGACTGGCAGAGACTGGGAGGTGACACTTGCAGCCTCGCCCCTCTTTAAATTCCCAAAGTGTTCCATTCAAAATGCCACTCTCACACACGGGACCAGCACTGCAAGGAGGGGAACACTCAACATGGGCTCTCAGAATTACCTCTGGCATTTCCTCCTCTCTGTTCTCCTCTGTAAGTAGAAATTAATTTGATTATTTATTGCTGCTATACATTTAGGGGATATCATTAAGAAACATTCAAAATCATAATCAAGGAAGGGGGGGCTGCTAAAAAGAAATATAAATCCAATAGCATGCAATATTTACAGGGTTGTGGGTTTTGGGGTTTTTTTGTTGTTTTTTTTTTTTTTTTTAGCTTGAAGGCATTGGATTTCAGCATGTATTTTAGTAGGGATACAAAGCTGTAAGTAGGTAAAAGAATGAGAGCAAAGTATTCAGAAAACTCATCTGAAAGATCAAACATACAGTGTCTGACCAGATTTTATAACTTTTTTTACCCCAAGGCTTAGTTATGAATGATGCATTTTGCCAATTTTTCTCCTTTGAAAGACTTTCTAGGAAAAAAAAAACAAAGCATGGATTAGGCTGTATTAACTTTGCTATGTTCTCACTGCACTGCAAGAGATTTTAAAAAAATCTAGAAATTCAGAAGGCTGCATTATTTTATTCTAAATGTCTGGTTTCATGTCATTCAGTGCAGATGAACACGATTTTCTTGACTGATCAATACCTGCTGTTAAAAATCTGGGAGATACAAGCACAGGATCTTACAATTCAATCTGTATTTGGGTGTAAAAAAGATATCAGTCTGTAGGAAGAGTTTTGAAAAACATAAATTGTAACATTACAAGTTTCTATGTTGACATTAAAACGATATGAAAATGCCACCTTGATTTTACAGGTGAATAGAGCCAAAAGCAGTTAATTAATGTGGTCCTTAAGAATTTGATAGAGCTGCTCCAGTATTCCCTGAGAATCCTCTAAAATTCATTCAGCCAAACCCAAAGATCCAGGATAATAAATCAGTGTTCTAAGGAGTAAAATTGCAATAAGGCAGAAGGATATGTCTGGGTTTTTAACAGGAACAAAGCCACTCTTCAAAATTAAATTTGACTTACCAGATCAAGTAAATTAAATAAGCCCAAATTAGCCTGACTATTTAATCACAAGGGGAAAAGGTTTTGATTTTCCTTTTAAAGAAACTTTGAGAGTGTTAGAAATGTTGACACCTTCACACTTGGGAACTATAGGAGTTACAATTTATTTGTAATTAGAAATAGGGATAAACACAGGAAGGTAGTAAATTTTCACCCAAGATTAATAAGATTTAGAACATCAACTGAAAGATATCCTCAGAAAAATTGTTCTCTCCTGCCTGACAGAAAATAACTAGGAAAGAAATAAATACCTTGCAAAGTAAAGAAATTGAAACAATAAAATATGCATAAACCGGTAAGGAGAAAATTGGGCTGAAAAAATTAATTCTGCTAATTTTAAATTTTCCTGTTAATTCTCTGGGAATTTTACTTTAGAGCAATCATAGGACCATAGAACTATTCAGGATGGAAAAGTCCTTTAGGATTGAGTCCAACCTTAAACCTAACATTGATGAATCCACCACTAAACCCTTTCCTTACTCTAAATAAAATAATATTTATGAGAAAAAAAGTACATAGAAAAATGAAGGGAAAAAAAGTAGACAAGGAATAGAAACGTAATATAAATCTCTACATTTATGCAGAAAAAAAAGTATTACCAGGAAATTGGTAAGATCTCCTCAAATTTATGCAAGTGGAAAAGGAAGTAACAGAGATTTTGTGGTACAGCAAAGAACATGAAAGTGGAAATGAGGAAGGAAAGGAATAACAATGAAGATGAGGACATGAGTGAATTTTTCACACAAGAACACACACTTGGTAGACTATTAAAGCACTTCACAGAATTACAGGGCAACAATCCATAATCCACATTTCTGAAATTCTGACAGGTACCCTAATGGCATTAGAGGGGAGAGACACAATGACTGCAGCCACTGGGAGCCACCTACGTGTCTTGAGGAGCACAAACAGCAGCAACACAACTTCAGAGGGCTCAGATGGCCCTGGGACAGCAGAGGCCATGACACAGAGCCCAGCCACCCCCAGCCCTGTGACTTCCACCTCTGGCACGAATCCTGCCTCAGGTACCATCAAAGCCATGTCTTCATCCACTCTGGGCAGCAGAACGGAGACACCAGCACCTGGACACAGCTCCACAGCCCTGTCACAGACCATGGCAGTGGGGACGGCCACCTTGCGTCCCACGGGGAGCCCCTCGCCCTCCATGGCCACAGCCTCCGTAGGCAGCGGTGCCACAACTCCTCCTGAAGAAGGGGAGAGCTCCACCACGGACCTGGGGGACAGAACAACTCATCCCACTGCTGACACCTCCTATTCCCTCCCTTCCACATCCCCGGTGTCCGTGACGAAGGTGATGGGTGAAGAAGGGATGACAGATGGTCCAGCCACAGCAATAATGTCAGGAGGGGCCTCACTGGGGACACCTCCTAGGAGTGGGGCAGTGAGCCCAGCATTCCCAACAATAGGAACTGGCACCACCACTGGCCCAGAGAGTGGCACTGCTTCCCCCCTGTCCTTCAGCTCAGCAGTGACGAGCCACTCCTCCTCCTCCTCCTCCTCCTCTTCCTCCTCTCCTGAGGGCTCCTCAGCTGTGCCTCTCAACCCACAGCAAAGCAGCAGCACTGGGGCACCCCTGGCCACCACATCCCACCCATCCACATCCCTGCTGTTCTCCACTCCCGGGCATACAGACACAGTGTTGGACGCTGTGACAGCAGAGGAGGTGACACCCAGCCCAGCTGCCAGCACAGCCAGCACCAACCCAGTGGCTTCTGCCTCAGAAACCAGTGCACCCAGCCATTCATCCTCACCAGGCAGCAGCACGGAGACACCAGCAGCTGGACACAGCTCCCCAGCCCTGCCACAGCCCACAGAGCTGGGGACGGCCACCTCGCCTCCCACGGGGAGCCCCTCGCCCTCCACGGCCACGGCCTCCACAGGCAGTGGTGCCACGACTCCTCCTGGAGATGGGGAGAGCTCCACCACAAACCAGGAGATCAGAACAGCTGAGCCCACTGCCAACACCTCCCACTTCCTCCCTTCCACATCCCTGGCAACCCCATCCACGACCAACCTTAGTGTATCGACATCTGTTAATCCTGGGACTTGCTGTGAGTATTTTAACACACGACACTAAATTTATTTTGCTCTAATTTTGGAAGAATTGAGTATAATTTTATTACATTATTGTTATTTTTGTTCGGAAATTGAGTTTTTTACAATGTCTTTTTTATGATGGGGGTTTCATCCAGGAATATGAATCCCTGCATCGATCTATTTTCTGAAAAGCTGCAGCCTCCTGTCTGGATTTGCTTTTGAAATGACACACCTTGTGTTAGGCAGTGCCACAAAGGTAAAATGCTATGTGGTTATGCTGCATAGGCCAAGTTATGACAATAGGAAGTTTTATTGGTTTCTATTGGTTTTTATTGGTTTTTATTGGTTTTTATTGGTTTTTATTGGTTTTTATTGGTTTTTATTGTTTTTTATTGGTTTTTATTGGTTTTGTTGCTTTTGATCTTGAAATTTCCTTTCACAGAATATCAGAGACAGTTCCTCCATTGGGAGAACCCGGTTGAATTTTTTTTTTTTTTTTTGCTAACTCAATTCTCATTTGTTTCAATACTAATTCTTTTCTAGTGTATCTTTAATTTTTTTTTGTCAAAGGGCTATCTTGTCCATATTCAAAGAATATGCAGTAATGAACCTTTCATCATTTTTCAATGGACAAAAAAGTAAAGCAAGGATGGAAAAGAGGAGAATTGCAGCCTTTCTGTACTCTGCACCTGAAAAACAAAGGCAGCATGACTTCCATTTTTAGAGCATATAAGAATTCTTCAAGATCTATTAGTAAAAGGGGTTAATCCGTCCCTGATCTGGAGTCACAGGGTTCATGGAGTGCAGTATGGTGCACACACAATAAGGTACAACTTGGTGTGTGGCAATGGCTCTGTGGCCAAGGACAGTGGCCAGTGGTTCCTCAGGGGTTACTCCTGGGACTGGCACCGTTCAGGTCCTTGTGGGTGACACTGAAAGCAGGATTGAGGCCACCCTCAGCAGATTTGCTGATGCCACCCACTGTGTGGTGCAGTTGACACTGTGGAGGGAAGGGATGACATCCAGAGGGACCTGGACATGCTTCCAAGGTGGCCCCCGTGAACCTCACACAGTCCAGGTGTGGTCAAGTGCAAGGTCCTGGATATAATTTCAGAAAGGGAAGCCTAATAAAATCACAAAAATGCATAATTATGCAAATATCAATCAAGGCAGTTTCTACACCTTGGTAAAGCTCTCTTGGACCCAGTAAATGTTCACTGGGTGCCTGCTTGCAGGGATAGATCACTATGATAGGTGATTTTTCTTAACCCTATTATGAAGCACATTTAATAAATGCCTCTCTACTGCTCTGAATTTAGGTTTTACTGGTGGTATTTTAAAAATCCATCCTCCTGAGGATATCAGGATGAGTCAAATGTCAGTTCACATCAGAACACTCATGTTTTTCTCAACCAGCCTCATCAATTCCCTATTATCTAAAAGCAACATTGTGCAATTCTGACCATTTACCACACTTTGCCTGCAGTTACAAAGGCTAGGAGCAAGCAGAGTGTCATCCACTTGTGTTTTGGAGCCATCAAACAAAGTATATTAATGTATGGTTTCTGTCTGTTGAGCAAATGGTTCTCTTCTGCTCTTCCGGGAGAATGAGGTGGAAAACTGAAATCAGCTCCGAAAAACCACACAAGAGTTGATATTGGTTTCATTCGTATTTTTTTCTTCAATAATAAATGTGTAGAATTGCAGAAGTGAAATGAGCTGCTCTCAGCTGCATGAAACTTTCACACTTTGCAGTGCCAGTGTCCATCAATGTTCAGAAGGTGACTGCAGAAGAAATACAGCTCAACTGGACCAGCAGCAGCAACGGCAGCTTCTACATCTCTGCCAAGGGTGATGGAAAGGAGATTCATGCAATAACTACAAATGAGACAGAAGCTGTGTTTAAAAACCTGCTTCCTGGCCAGAAGTACACCATTTCTGTGGCAGTGTCATCCTGTGCTGAGAACAATCCTGCTTCAGTCACTGTCTGGACAGGTACTTCCTCCATCACCCTGGCATCTCTTTTTAATTAATATAAACTCACAGTATCTTTTTGCCATATGATCTGGATTTGATCTCACATACTCTTAGTCCTGCAAGTTATTTTTTATTTATTTGACTGATCCCCTTATTTGGATGGGACTGCTTGAATTAAACAGGAATTTGCAAGTGTAAGAGCTTGCTTGTAAAATTTCTGATCATGTTGTATTATTGAGCCAGATAATTCTGTACAGAAGTCAGGATATTTTGGTTGCAAATTTACCAGAAAATATTCTGGTAATGCGAAGTTTAGGTTCTACATGCTCTTGTGAATGCAGGCAGTCCTTAATTGTCACTGTTACCTTTTAAATTCCATCCTAGGTTATAGGCATTAAGGCAAACAGTTTAATTATGTCTCTGTGCTGAAACTGATTCTGAAGGAACATGACACATAGTATCCCTCTAAGTCAAGAGTTCTCCTTGACTTTTGGCAATTGTTGCTTTCTTCCGGCGTTTCTTGACCTCTAAAACAGAAATGTCCCTGTTGCAATCCTTTTTTGAGCTCTCTAATGGATTGCCTGATTTTTCTCAAAACCTTTCTAGGGCCATTATTTTGGCAGTGGACTGTGGGGTTCCTTCGGATGGACTTAGCCTCTCTTAGTCTTTAGGACCACAAAGCCAAGGAATTATTATCATTATTTCCATTGAAGTCATCCAATTCTTCAGTCACTGGCTTTCATTTATTACTTTCTCTATTCAAGGAAAATAAAAATTGTTTCCTATTGCAGTCTGGAGCCATCTGCCTTACCAGAAAATTGTTTGTAAGCTAATTAAAAAGAGCAATAAAACCAAGTGATCCATATTTCATGTGAAATTAAAGATTATGTTCAATTCTATGAGAACTACAGATAGAATCCAATGAGCTAACCACATAAAACCTCCTATACCAGCCTTTAATGGGTTTTGACCCTTCATAAATAATTCAGATCAGCAAGTCCACACAATCATACTGAAGTTTTGAGACTCCATGATGCATATCTTTTTCCAAAATAAATTGCAGATGACTTTTACTTCTGAAAACTCCGTCTAGCTTACCTGACTTGAGCAAGCCTGTAATAGCACAACCTATATCTTTAGCTGTCATAAGAAATCAGAGTTCTCAATGCTATTTCAGTGAGTTCTCAAATACCACCTACCCACCCACCACCTGCCTCTCTTTTGATGTGCTCCAATTTTATAATTTGCAATTCTAAATTCTCCCTAGGCCAAAGGAATTACTGCTTAGGTGACTCCTTGGCCATATTAAAGATTTTCACCTATTCCATAACTTTGTTATTAGCATTAATAATGCATGCACAGAAATGATTATCTTGATTTTTACATTTATTTTGCAGATTCTGGTTCCTGCTTAGAAAGAACTGAGTTGTGTTTTGCACAAAGTACTGGCTGTTCTGACTTAAAAGGCATTGTATGCTCCAGTAAGTTTATAGAACCTTAACATTTGTTTATCCATAACCACGGGGTATTATTTCACAATATAGTATCTCCCAAGAGTATTTTACCATCTGCTTTATTTTGTCAGTTCACACAGCATCCGAAGTTCACACTTCTTTGGTGAAGAAGCTGCCTCCATCAAACTTCAGTGTCAGCTTCCAGCTCTATTTTAGTCTGGACTTTTCTATGTAAAGCTCTCTTCTTTTGGCTCAGGGCTCATCCGCCTCCTCAGGAGGATTTAAACTCACTCAGAGCCTTGCAGAGTCTAACAGACTGGTGTTACTTCTGCTGGAATCAATGGGAGAGTGGCTGTGGAATAAGGGAGTGGGATGTACCCTAAATAATACAGGAATGGTGAACAAGTCGTGAAGATTGTGATGGCTGACAAACTTGGAGAGATTTAGCTCTGAAGGTTCCAAAGCCACTGCATTAGACACATATGATACACATTTTTTTTTTAATCAATTCATATTATAAATACATGAGATATTAAAGTCCAAAGACGAATTGTGGAGGCAATCCTGGGATTCACTTAATTGTTTCTCCTTTTTTTAATTTTTTCCAGATAACCAAGCATTTGCCTGCAGAGTTTGGTTAAAAAATGAGATATTCAATAGTACACTTTATGACTCTGAGAGTAAAGACTACATGGCAATGTCTGGAAGTTTCAAAACAAAAGTAAGTTGATGCAATCTTTTTGTCAATGAATGAACTGCAGAAAGGCTTGTGATTAGCAGCCTTAGTCTCCTACATTCATTGTTAAATCAGGACTCTGACAGGTGAAAAATTAAAAACAGTATAAGAAGGACAAAATCTGCCAAGGACAGAGAGCTTGTTGTCCTGTGAGGAGGGCTATATTCCCTAAGCCATCCTCAAATATAAGTTACTTAGTGAAAGGCACTTTAAAATTCTATTTTTGTAAGGAACATCCCGTTCTGTTTATTTTCTCCCACTTCACTAAACTGATGCCCGTGGAGACAAAAAAAGGATGTTACTCAAAACCAGCATTTCAACACAGATTTGGAAACATGAAAACTTTGCAAGTGTGTACTGTAAATCCAGATTATTGGCAATTCACCTCATGGAAGTGGCTGCAGGACTGGACAAAGTATCAAGGGGTCCATCTCAGGGGGAAAATGAGGAGAGAAAGTGGAAGCTTTGAGCTAGTAATGCTGACAGGCAGAAGCATCAGTCTGCCACTCAGCTGTCTTTAGCAGCATGTTAAAAAAAAATTAATAATTTTGACACCTCTCAGGAATCCTGATGCATATAAACCTGCTGGAAAGGTAAATCTACTGTGGGATTGGGGTAGACTACTTTAAATAACTAACACAGCTATTTTTAGTGAGATGATCATACCCTTTAGCTAAGAAACTCCACAGAATTCAAAAGCAGTAATTAATTTGTTCTCACCACGCCAACCCGGAGGTAACCTTGTCTTATGACTGCTAACATCTCCACTTCATGGATAGAAAATTTATTTTGGTGGATGTAAAATGTTTCCTCCAACCTGACTGAACGCAGCAGGAGTTCCTTTACTGGCTTTTAATAAGCTTTTACCTCATCCAAAGCGTCAGCTTTTCTTCAAGAAAAAGGCAAAATCAAAGAGAGGCTGTACTAATATGATTGAAAATATAGACAATTTCTCTGTATCAACTGGATTTTTTTCCCCCAATTTGAACATTGAACTATTTTTTTTTATATTCCACTGTACTACCACTCTGTAGTTGTAGCTTTGAAGTGTTACAATTTTGCCTGCATAAGTCAGGTTTCCTACCTAGGCTGCTCATTGAGGTGAGGAAAAGAAAATAATTTTGGATCCTCTGGCCAAAGAACTTAAAGGGATGTAAGTTTGGGGTGAGGGTTTATTCCATAGAAAAGGTGGAGGCGGATAACTGAGCAGTGACTCAGAACAAGGTTTGTTATCATCTATGAAAAATAGTAATCTTTTGGGCTTTTCAGGTAAAATACCATATTTATCCACAGGGAGAAGATAGCTTCTCTTAGTGGGTTGAATCAAACACCTAATTTTCTGAAAAGATCAGTCCTGACAAAAACATTTCAACCAGTCTTACTTAAAAAAGGGCTCTGCTTGTTCTTGCTTTATATCCATATGAAAGCACTAAGCAAGGCTCTACTTTAGGAGATATCAGTGTAATTGATTTGATTTTGATTGATGCCATAGGAATACACTTGGTTTATGCCAGAATGATTGAGAGGCAAATCACACCCTTGTCTCTCTTTGCAATGGTATTCTGTAATGCCATGACTTTGAAAATCTGGCAACAAAAGTAAGTTTTAAACCTCTCATATGATTTTTTATGCTGGTAGTGTATGCAGGACCACGCTTGAAGTTTAGTTGCACATGTTAAAAAAAGTTAGGGGACCCTGAAGATAACTTTAGAAATATTGTAGATTCTTTGTAGATTCCAAATTTTGTAGATTCTTTGTAGATTCCAAATTTTGTACAGTCGGGGTCCCATATGGGTTGGTGGAGGAGGACAACTTGTTTTAATGCATTATTCATTGATAACTAGCTAAACAGATTGGAGCTTTGGAAGTCAAACTCAGATTTCACATTTTCAATCACAGACAATGCATCGCTCTGGAATCCTCTTTCCATAAGTGTTTTTATTTGTCATCCCAAAGCAATTACCTTGAAAGAGTAGCAAGTGAGGAAAATTTAATATCCTGATGTGTGTGTTCCTGCTCTGCCTCAGCTGACTGACCAGTGGAATAAATATCAATTTCACCTCCCACAGGTTGTTGCAGAAATGAACACTAAACTGGGGAATAACCACTCCGACATTTTTGTGCTGGGGTTCAGATCTGGCAGTGTGATTGTTGATTTTCTCTTTCTGCTGCCAAAAGAAGAAGCCATGGATGTGGGTGCTATACAGACCCACCTGAGTAACGTGCTAAAGAGCAAGTTTGGGAGCCAAAGTGAAGTGCAAAGTAAGTGATACAGCTTTTCTGTAATGGTGTGGGGATTAAAGGGTCAGATCTACTGCTGTTAAATTAAGATGGTTAACTTAACTTCTCTCTTTTAAGAGAGTCAGGTAGTTCAAGTAACCTATTTAAACATTCACTGAACACATAGTGATTTAATACAGATTATGGACCTATATTAAAGAGTCATTACACATACCCATTTCCAGACTCAAAGGATGAGTTCTCTTCACACTAAAGGATCTAAAGACTCTTGAGTTACACCATTCCATCCAACAAATCCTCAGAGCAGCTGTTATGGGTGTCACCAAGAGATCACAAAGACCCTCAGAAAAGATTTCCAGTTAACAAACCTTCACCACACACAAAAATATTTTCAATGTTATTGAAAAGTTTCAAAGCTGCCAAGCAGTAAAACACAGCTGTCACGTAGGGCTCCAGGATTTCTTACACCCACTTTTTTTGCTGTTTCAAGCTAACATTCCTCAAATGTGCTTTAAATTTCCAGCTCTGTCTTTTCAGTCATCAACTGACAACTGCTCCTCCTGGAGAGTAGCAGTGATTGTCCTTGGAGTTTTACTTGGAGTTGCATTAGTGCTGATTCTCCTGGCAGTAGTGTTTTACATCCATGTCAGAAGATCAGGTAAATATTTGGTTGAATCCTCAGGACTCATCGGAATGTTTGTCTACAAGCACTTATAAGATAAACCATCGGTTTCACTTAAATATTTTGGACAAGGCAGAAAATTAATATATTTATTGTATAATTCTATGTTAATTGTGTATAATAACTTAGGATAATTCCACCCTTTCCTTCCCAATGTCCATTGCCAAATTCCTCAGCTTCTAACAACACCTCATGAATCTTCCTTTAAACAGGTATGGATTTTTCCACATTGTACACATGGTAGAGTGAGGAACAGAGAAACTTCTCTTCAACCTATCCCCTATAGGTACTGCAATGACTCTTAACACTGAAAATCTAGAGAGACAAGACCCAAACTACTCAATACTGTGTTTAGGTGACACTGAAAACAGGGTGACTGTGCCTGGTAGTTGTGGCAGACCACCTGAATGCTCAGCTGAGCCCAGAGTCATCCTGTTGAGTTTTGTGCACTTGCCCAAGGGTGATTCACCTCCCCTGAGACTTTTATCACTGTATAAAATTATATATATATGCCTTTTTCTTTCCTGTGACTGCAGAATGAGCCCAGGGTAATTAGTGTTACAGCTTGATTAGGAGTTTGGAGAAAAATGGGATACATCTCAGTTGTGTGGACTTGCTAGAGAAGTCTGGTGCACCAGAAACTTGATTAGGAGGCTTCTGAATTCAAGTTTTCTTTAATTGCTGGGCTATGAAGAAATAACTGCTTATATGTGTCAAATGTACAGCATGCTAAATACAGCTGTGCTTTCACAGCATATTCTCAGAGATGGGGAAGGAAAAAAAATAGGTTAATTTGAGCCAAAAGTACTTCACTCACCTATTTTTGCCTATCAGAAATGGTCAGCTGAGCAAGGATGTGCCATATAGTGCACTTTCGTCCTGCTCTTGATAATCCCAAAGTCAAGTCCAGTAAAATGGAAGCAACTCCTGCGGCATTGGAGCAGACTTTGCTTCAGATTTCTTCTAATTGCTTTTAGAGCAATTAGAAGAAATGACCTTTACCTTTTCCCACCACTCTTCACTGCAGTCCTGGTGAAGTTACATTCTGTCCCTACTGTGGTGCAGTTTTTCCTGCTTGGAATGTGCTGAACAGATGACAAAGGGGCAGTTTACTGCTGTACATATTCCCAGCAGGATTTCTGGGTTTCATTTCAAACCAGCTCTCTCTGTATCTGTGCATTTTGTCAGTCTGCCTACGTTTGGAATTCCTGTTGAGGCACTGAGCATCCCATGATGTTGAGGCCCTGCCTCACACCACTGGATTTGGGGGATTAGGTTGTGGTTATTTGGCACAGATTAGAGTACATTGGTGCCAGAGCTGCAGGACCAGCAGTGTGGAGGTGCACAAGCAGCTCTGCTCTGCTCCATGTGCAGCCAGCCTTCATTCTTCTCATCCCTCCTTCCCTGTGCTAAAACACAGCTCCTGGGATAGCCCTGCTGAGGATCCTGCCTGGAATATTATTTTTAGTAGCAGGGACCTATGAAACAGGGTATTGTACGCCTTTTCCTTCCATCTAGGGTCAACTTGTCTATCCTGATTGAGATCTGGGGTGTGGAGTCACAGACACCTCACTGGTGGGAAGAGAGTGATTAGTATTTGTTAAATTTATATTATGTGGTTTTTAAATATAGCTAGCTCTGGTGTTCTACTCACTGAGTAGTCACTCAACAATGTATTCTGTCAGTAAATACAAGTTCTCCAGAGAGCTCTGTTGAAAATAAAAATGAGTGCTCTCTCTATATTAATACTCTTTTATTTAATTTTTGAGGGATCTGCTTTGAATAGCAAATCCTCATTGTCAGTAAACCTTTCTGATGTTGTAAATAGTGTTAAATAGAGACCATGTACAGCAGGCTTGAACAATCCTGGGACTGTTCATGCAAAATGTATTTAATGTCTTTGGGGGGAAAAAAAAAAGTGGTATTTTAAACAATTTTCTTGGAGATACTTTACAAATAAAATCTTTATTTTTGCAATTGTGCATTCTGAAGGAATCTGCTGTTCTTTTTTTTCTTGTAATTTGGATCCTCCTCTACCTGCAGGGGGGGGGGAGAGTGGCCACTGCAGTCAACAACAGAGCTGACCTTGGCATGATTACACAGAAGGATGATCTCTGAGCTAAATCAAACAAGAGAGAAAATCTACTGAATCTATCCTTTTTTACCTTCTACTTCAATAAACCCCCCCCTACCACCACAGTGTGGAGTCCAGACTCTGGGAACTCTCTGAAAATGAGAGCAGGAGAAGCCAGATCTCCCCTTTCCACAGAGGAGCATTTGGGAATGCTCCCAAACAGCATTCAGATGGGCTCCTCGTGCATATTCCCTTCTCAGAGACAGGCAGCAAGTGGGACAGAGCAATAAATGGCTGAGGATAAGACACTCCATTTATCGAGGCAGCTGGCTGCTGTTGGAGTCAGTGGGATTTAAGCAATTCCTTCATTGTTGTGTGCCAGATGTCTGTGACTGAGAAAGGGCATTTTGCCTGTTTCAGACTCGCTTTTTCCCCCCTGGAACTGACTGACAGTATGATCCAGAAAAACCAGAGCTACCTGCCTCTCGGGGTCTGTATGTCTCTGTGTGTTGGGGTGACCCCAGGAGTGTAAAAGTCCTCGTTTCCCAGCCCGTGCAGCCAAAGAAGGAGTCTGGAATGCACAGGATCAGCTTCTCAAGGTTGTTTATTTTCTTTTAGCTGTAACATTCTTTCTCTGACCTGCTGAGCTCTGTCCAGCAGGTCGGCCATGGCATTCTGTGTCTCGCCTTGGGCAGCGTTTACATTTTATATCAAAAACTACATGTACTATATTTACAATATTGTTCCAATACCGATCATTTATGTTAGACAGTGTGTCTCTACCTTAAACCAATAGAAAAGTGTCACCATCACACCAAGACATGGAGGACAAGAAGAAGGAGACGAAGGCCAGGACACACCCAAATCACTTCATCTTGACCCCCTGAACTACATTCTAAAAATCCCAAAATTCTACTTTTTCACCCTGTGTTAATTCACCTACCACACTACTCAAATCCTTGTGGCTTGTAATTCCTCATACACACAAAGTTGGGAGTTTTTCCCATGGGCTAAAATCGAAGCCACAGGTGTTTTTGACTTTGTGCCAGGGTCTCTGAGCCCCCTGCCAGGGTCTGGAGCCAGCCAGGGCAGCCAGAGGGATGTGCTGGACTCTGACACCTGCCAGTTCCTTCCTGCATGCTGTGATCGAGGCCAAGGTCCTAGGAAATACTGTGCTCTGCTCCTGTTGGAACTGATGAGATGAGACTCAAGTCTTCAGCTGACTTTTTTTAGCAATTTCACTTTTCCATGATTTATTATTCCAGCTGCTGTCAATAACCAAAAGCTTTTGCTTCACAAGTATGAGAAAATCATGGTGCTCTGGAACCAGGACACTTCCCAGTTGTTGCACTGCATTCCCAAGGGCACAGGCAGTTTGGGACTGGATAAAACCAAGCTTGGGAAGAGGAGGTTGTGCACTTGCCATCTTCTATCTAATTGAGATTATTTAGGCTGAGGAGTTGCCATCTATCTAATTGAGGTTATTTAGGCTAGGAATTTCCCTTAGTGCCTCTGTCATTGTAGATTCATGATGGAACAACACCTTGAAAGGGAGCAGAAAGCAACAGGACAAGCTCTCAGACTTAACCAAGCAGGCCTGGGGAGCACTGGGAATGCCATGCCTGTGACAAACCAGGTGCCAGAGGATCAGAAGGAGCTGAGGATCAACACATGGAAGCCACAGGGCCAAAAGTCCCCTCTGCAGGGAGCTGGATCTGCCATGTGCTGCAAGAATGACTGGAGTGAGACACTAAAGGGTCTGGAACACTCAAGTGACACAAATCAACAAGAGGGGTCAAAGTCACAAAAAAGCACAGCAATGTGCCTTTCCCAAATGTAGCTGCTTGCTTTCCTCTTCTCAAATGTCAGAACTCAAAACGTCCCTCAGACATCTTTGGATGTTCAGGGTCCAGGTCAGAAGCATTTGAGACCCTGGCAGGCAGCTGGAAACAGCTGTGATTTTGGATTTGAGCCATGGAATGATTTGCCAACCTTGCAGGAAGAACAAGAAGTCACAAAAATTTAGATATTATAGTAGAAGTAGTCACAAAGTAAAGGGAAGAATTTTTGAGTGCTGTACAGGGGGGTTTTGGTTTTGTACATGGGGGTCAGAGGGTTTAAGATGGAGGGATTTGGGCCTGTCCTGTCCTCCCTCTTTCTTCTTCCTTACCTCCATGTTCTTGGTGATGTTGGCACTCACAGATTGGTTTAGAGTAGAAAAGCACCATTTAATATAGGTAATAGGCATTGGGGAAAAACTGTAACCATGTAACACGTAATGTACCATATAAAAGATAGAAAGACACCATTTAATATAGGTAATAGGCATTGGGGAAAAACTGTAACCATGTAACATGTAATGTACCATATAAAAGACAGCAGCAGCCCTGGGTGGGGGAGAAATGAAGCAGTCGGGAGTCAGAGAGGATGTCAGGGTGTGTGTGTGCCTCTGCCTGAGCTGCTGAGCAAACCACAGAATCCAGGAGCAGAAATATTACTGTTGGTAATCCAAGCAGGCCTGTGCCATTTTAGTCACTTTTATGGGAGCTGGGCTGCCCAAGGACATTGCATTCTGGGGACCTAAATCAATACCATCCCTGTTTAGCTACCATTGAATGGATTAAGCTGGTCTATCTGCCTGCTGGAAACCCAGTCTTCCATTTCTTTGCAGATCTAGACTGTGCTGCTGCTGAAAGCAAGTTGGATTTAAACTTTTTTTTTGGTGTACAAACACACCCACCTGCCAATTGTTTCCAGTTAAGTGATTCTTTTAAGGACTCAGTTTCTGAACAGTCCAAAAATTTAGAGCTGTGGTCAACTTCTGGTTAGAAAGCTTGCAGTGGGAAACTGGGATTTGTCCAGCTCACATCCACTTTGCTGTTCCATGGCCCCACTTAAAATTGGGGGTCTTTTCAGCTGTAGATTAAACCTATCTCCATTCCTCTTGCTATGGGGGACAAATTTATTTTTCTTGGATAGAGAAAGTAATAAATGAAATACTGAATATTTGTGAAATCAGGCTAAAAACTATAGCAATAACTGATGTTTTAATTCAGGGATATATAAGCTGTTGTTGCTGGTGTTGTATTATGTGCCCTGTTCTAATCTCACCATGATCCTGTGCTGGCAGCAACACGACACAGGCAGCATTAGAAACTACTCAAAATGATTTTAGGATGGCTTGGTCCTGTCAGGTGGTTGAGGCATTTCCTACACCAGCACTGGACTCACAGAAGACAAGTTCAGCTTCGTTTTCTGCACTTCTGTGCTCTTCCAGCTTGGCCTCAGAGAGTCAGTGCAGCTGTGGGATCCCACAGCAGATGTGCACAGCTGACCAAAAAATATTTAATGGATTAATTAGAAAAGGGGATATGTGTGAGTGGGCTGACTTCAAAGCTATTTCACTGCCAGTTATTCCTCCTTCTCAACTTCCAGCTTCACAAAGAAACTTTTTTTTTTTTTTTTTTTTTTTTAATATGAGGCTGAACACATATAACACCACATCTAAACCTCCAAAAATCCTGTCAAAACCTTGATTCGACATGGAAAACTCTCCATCCAGCAAGGTGTGGGACCTGAAAGTGCTGCACTGTGCAGCGGGAGCCACCAGATAGCGCTCCCTGTGCCGGCATCAGCTGCTCCAAAACCTGTTCGCGCCAAAATCTTCAGTAATTCACCCATTTTTGGCTCAGGGCAGCCTGAAAACTCACTTCTTCCAAGGATGAAGTGCACTTCAGTTCTTTCTTCAAGCCATGACTTCTTCCCCAGCACATGAGATGCCCTGAGAGTTGGGGAATTTATAAGTTTTATTGCTCTGGAGAGGTGGCACGGAGCAAGGAGAGGCTGGACACACCCAGGGAGCTGCACATGCTGCAGGTGACCCCAGGGGAGCTGCACATCCTGCAGGTGACCCTGCACACTCCAGGGGAGCTGCACATGCTGCAGGACACACCAGGGGAGCTGCACATCCTGCAGGTGACCCTGGCTGTGCCCTGGCAGCAGCTCTGGGGCCGTGGTGGCACAGGTGTGAGGAGCCATGCAACTCTCTGGTCACACATGCATTTAAGGGGAATTACAGCCAAAAAATGAAGGTAAAAAGGAATCTCAGAGTGATGATACCTGTCTCTCTGAGCACCTAAATACCAGCTTAAAGCACAGCCCTGAACCCTCAGAAAATACTTGAAGAAAAAGGGTTTTTTTTGCTCCACAAAATCCTTTTCCACTTGTTTTTTCTACATCCTGGGCTGATGTAAGGTGAAGTGAGGACATCACAACTCAAGGAGTCAGGGAAGCAGAAGCAGTCACTTGCCCCCCCTGAGACACTGATGTGTTTGTTGGACACTACCAAAGCCACCTCATTGTAACTGTGGTCAGATACTGACAGCAGCTCCTAAACTTTTATTTGCCTCGTTGCTACAATAAACTATTCAACTCATTAAAAGGTTAATTGTCTATGAAATATATTTGAAAGCTTTATTTGATTTCTCTTCTCATAATCAGAAAGCTTAAGCAGCCTATGGGCTCTTTATTTTTTCAGTTTTTCCTTGTGGAGATTTTCACACTGGATTCAGGGATCCTCCAATTTAATTAATATTTTTAAAAAATATATAATTTCATGACCATGGCCAAATTATCTTGGAAAAAACCATCCCATTAATCAAAAATGTAATTAAATATTAGTTTTTGGTAATTAAAAAAATGAGATATCACAACTGTAACTTTTCTTCACTGTCAGTAAGGTCATTGCCTGCATCTAATCATTCCCCTTGTCTAAAGACAGAGGTAGCTGCAGAGAGCAGCTATCAGTGAGCTTCCTCTTGAGCATCACAGAGCCTGAATATTGTCCCATTAGTTATTAAATCTTAATTAGTGTTAGAGGAAAAGGTCATTTTTTTCTTCCCTT